ACACGGTATGTCTCTCGCTCTGTGGTGGTTCCTCTCTTTGATGGCTGCAACAACAGGAAGTGAGAGACACTGCTGCCCTTCTCCGTCTCTTCCTTCCTTTCTCACTTTTCTGTGAGGAGGCACGAGGTCCCTGTGAAGATGAAAGGACACGTGGGAAAATGTGAGCTGGTGGAAGGTTTGGGGAGACGGACTGAAGCCAAATGCCAAAACAATCCCAGCTTCCACTACGTTTGCTCGTTTCATGGATTAGAGCATTAGGTGCCCTCTTTAACCAACTAGTGGGGAGTGGGAGTTAATAAACTCCCAAACAGGAAGTCTGCATCAGCCCTGATTAACCTTTTAAAGCCGGGGTGGGGAACCTTTTTTCTCTCAAGGGCCATTTCAATTTTTTCAACATCCTCCGAGGGCCGTACAAATTATTTACCGCTGCTTAAAAACACTAAAATCACAGCCCATTCATTTGGCCTTTCTTTCATTCTGCGCAAAGAAAAAGCAAACTCTGAATCCAGATATCTTACCATGACTCGCGTATGCATGCACGGTTGTGGCATNCGTGAGCTGTTATGTGCCATCATGACACGCATGGTGTTTTTTTTATATATTATAATGAAGTACGAGCTGTGTGCTCGAGTCTTCCTGCCTGCAGAGCCGACAGGCAGGAAGACTCGAGCACACAGCTCGTACTTCATTATAATATATAAAAAAAACACCATGCGTGTCATGATGGCACATAACAGCTCACGGCCGCAGATTACTCCGGGTCCCAGATCCCCCCATACCCCAAAAATATTTTTATTGCAGATCTACATGAATCACACAAACAACCTATTTTGGATTCAAAACGGCGAATTTCGCCGAAAGGTGACAAGTTTGCATCACTGCAATATGACAGAAAAGGGCAGTACGAATAATACATAAAGCTGACTCAAGAGAACACACCAACAGACTGTTTTTTAAGTCAGGACTCTTGAAACTCAAAGAGATAGCTGAGCGTCAGTAATGCTCAGGGCAAAAAGCAGAATGTTACCAGCATATTTACAACAGTTTGTTTTTGGATCAGACAAGGAAGACCACAGAAGGAAATTACATTTTAAGCATCCATATACAAGGACTACTCTTAAACAAATGTGTATTTTGGTGGTTGGTGTAAAATTGTGGAATTCTCAACAAAAGGATCTAAAGAATTGTATATGTATTTTTCAGTTAAAGAAATTATATAAATTAAGAAAGATGGTACTATACGAAGCAGAATGTGAATAAGTCTATGTACTCCTGCATTGTTAAATGTTTTTGATGTGATGTCTGTTCTTTATTAGCAGGTCCCATTGTTATTGTTATTATTATTATTATTATTATTATCATGCGCCGCTTTCCACCTTCTTCTCCAGTAGGACTCAGATGAGGGTGTTGCTTTTTACTTTTCTTTTCCTTATACATGTGATGTTTTGGTGTTGTTTTGTTTCTTTCCGTTAACGTCAAGTGGGAAATAAGTATTTTTTTGTGTTTCTCTTAGTATCCTAATATACTGTAATGTTTGGCTGTGAAAAAGCTTCACAGGTCCATCGGTTATGTCCTGCGCGGCTCGGCCAGCACCAGTTCAGTCAGTCACAGAAAGTCCTTAGATTTTTTGCAGGGAGCGAAACGGCAACGTAGCTGCTTAATGTCTTTGTTTTTTGTTACATGTCTCGTAGTTTACTCCATTGAGTGTTGACAAGAAACACGTGTAGACGAAATATGTGTTTTGTTTTGAGGTACGCGAAAGGCGCGTAGTGACACAAGTGACGTTACGTAATTCAGATTTGTGCCGCGCATGAGTACCTGCGTACCAGTTATGTGCACCCCTGGTTATAGACGCTCAGTGTCACATGCTGCATTAGCCTTGTCGTTGTTATTTGTTACCTGCTTGCCCAAAATAAAACTATTTTGCCTATTCGGGGCCCGTTGAGTCAAACAGTATTTGTTCTGCTTTTGCAACAGGCACTGTCCCTAATATCTCTGTATTAACTGCTAAAAAGCTCATTTTAATCTTGTCAATTGTTAGGAGTAAGTGCACCCCCTTTTGTAATAATATCAGTATCGCAAAATATGTTTTAGAGCCCATTGATTAAATGCTGACCTTTTCAATTGAAAACTTTGTAATAGTAATAATGAACTTACCTCCAAGTACTAATTAATTAATTAATTGTTGAATTGAAGCTTGTTTTAGATTATTTAACTTTATTACCAATTTAAAAACGGAAGTCTTTCAAAACAAATGCTTGAAATTGTATAAATAAATCAGTTCAACCATTTTAACATTTTCCACTTTTCATTAAAAACACAAGTAAAGTTGGACTAAGATTCTGTGTCTCTTTTAGTTGCTGAATTTAAGACTAAATTAACTAACCAAGTTAAACTCCAGCCCGTCCTCCAGAGCCGTCTCGCCGTCCTGCATGTAAAGGGGTCCCGCCGTGGCCTCCCTCCAGCCAGGCCTCCGGAGTGGTCCCGACGTGGCCTCTGAGTTCAACGATTTTTCCCTCAAAATGTACTTTAACGGAAGATTGTTTAGATATTTTCTTACATTTTTTGTAGCAGCTTTTGCACATGACACGTGGACTGTAGTATTTTTATTGAAAATGCAAGCAAAGACTCTCTTTGAATCCCAAGAGGAGCAAAGCACTTCTTGGTATACAAGAAAAATGAGTCACTGTTTTTTTAATATATTTTTCAAGATTAGTTTTGTTTTATGATTTGTTGAAGATTCAGATAGTCTTGCATATTTACACAATTATGATCATCATAAGGATAACCCCAAACAAACAGTACAGGTGTATTTTTTTAGATTCCCCCAACTGTAAAGAACTAAAAATAATATAACTCAAAGTCTAGGATTAACATTGTTTGGTTTTATTTTTTAAAATTGCATATTTCATCAATGCTCTCATAGACTTCAAATCTGTACTGGATACCATTCTCCTCCTGTAGCTCGTGTGGCACTCCTGGAAACCTGAAGGAGAGGCAAAATGTACTTTATGTTTCATCTGGTACATACATGTGTAAAGCTACCTTCACATGATTCGCGGTTTGCCCTTTTACTCACCACAAAGCAGGGCGCCAGGCAGTAAAACACGTCAAGTCTTGTTTCTATGGTTACCTCACCTGCTGCTTTATACAGTTGTTGACAGAAATGGTTCAAAGTTTAAATAATTTGATCTGAGCCAAGTGCTCGCCGACAATTTGGAGCGTGTGTAGTAGGGCAGCACCGCACTCTCTATAAAACCAAAACGGAACTGCCAGCGCAGAGCAGTTTAACTGCTGATCATGTAAAGGCAGCTTAAGAGATGAGTTTGTGAGAGTGCAAGTTAAAACTCTACAAGCCAAAGCCATATATCAACAACACCCATAAACTCCTCTGGCTCCTCTGGGCTGAGCTCATCGGAGATGGACTGACACAGAGTGGAGAAGTGTGCTGTGGTCTGGTGAGTCCACATTCCTAATTGTTTTTCATGGACGTCGTGTCCTGCGGGCTAAAGAGGAAAAGGACCATCCAGATTGTTATCAGTGCAAAGTTCAGAAGCCAGCATCTGTGATGGTATGGGAGGGTGTTAGTGCCCATTGCAACTTGTACATCTGTGAAGGAACCATTAATGCTGAAAGGTACATAAACGTTTTCAGGGACGTCCCTGCTTATTTCAGCAAGACAATGCCAAGAGAAAGAGTGGGGGTACCAGACCGGCCTGCCTGCACTCCAGACCTGTCTCCATTGAAAGTGTGGGGCGCATTATGAAGCAACTGAAGTCATACATCAAGCAAGAATGGGAAAGAATTCCACCAACAATTAGTGTCCAGAGTTCCAAACACGTAGGAGTGTTGCTAGAAGGAAGGTGATGTGACCCGGTGGTAAACATGCCCCTGTCCCAGCTTTTTTGGAACATGTTGCAGGAAAAAAACATGATTAAACATGATAGTATATAAAACCATGCTCGTATCTATAAAACCTATAGAAATGCAAAACCGTGTCAGTTTAGACGTAATTATTCCGTTTACCACATCATTTAAGAGAATACCTTTCATAACATGTAAGAGAACATATTTTCGAGGGGTGATCAACAGTGTTGGGACTAACGCGTTACTGTAACGGCTAAATACTGTCTATGCCTGCTAGCTGCCCATTCAAATGAAGTACACTGGATATAAACTCCCCAAACAGGCGAAAACCTACCAGTTTCACCCACTGTCTCTGCCACCTCCCTCCATGCCTGGCTCCTCCGGTTTGTATCCCGGTAGGTGAACAGGGACTGATCTTAAAGTACCGGGTGATTCCCTACCGCTACAATTATTTTCTCCTCCAGTTTTTGGCATATGAGGAAATGAACTGCGGTCTGGCTCTCCCAGCATACACACGGTTTGATTGGCTAGCGCTTGTACTGGCAGATTTGCATAAGCGGGATTTGATTGGCTGACACCTCCGTCGAAGCGTCAAAAGTAGAACATTGCTCTACTTTTGCAGCGAGCACCGCGAGAGAAGCTACGCTTTGCTCCGACAATGCAGTTCGGCGAAATGTGACGTCACCCCATTCAAATTGAATGGACAGAAGCGTTAAAGAGTCAACGCACGCCGCCGTGTGTAGGGGTCGTTACACTTAAAGGGGCCCTATTATGATTTTGGGGGTTTTCCCTTTCCTGTAGTGTGTTATATATTTTATAAGGACATTGGCGTAAATACAAAAAAGTGCAAATCTCTTGTGAAAAATCTTTTATCAAACTAAGCATCTCGCAGCTCTTATAGAGTATACTGCATTTTCTTAGAAATAAAAACAATTATATTCTGCTTTTTGTCTTTTTCTAAAGCATTATTTAGTGGTGATCTTTCCCAAATATGACAAAGTTCTGGTGAGAAGAGTTTATCACTTGGTATCTTTCTTTCCCCTGACATGAAGCAACATGCCTTCAGCATTCTTTAGTGGCAACAGATTTCATCACATGTTTTTAAACGTTTCTTGTACTCTCCGGGCAGTGAGAAGATCATGGGAGGTGTCTCCCTGCAGCCAGAGATGGAGGAGGAGAGCTCTGATCTGCAGCTGGAGGAAGACTTTCTCAAGAAGCTGAAAGACAAATACTGCTGTAAATTAAAGGTGAGGAGCACAACGTCGGAGGTCATGTTGTCCATCGTCTTTCTGGGATTTTTGGGGCATCATATATTATATCTGTAATTCATGGAATTTGTTATTTTCAGACATCATTATTACTCCATTAGAGTTAAAGTAAACAGGCTTTTCAGTTCTTCATATTGAAAATGTTTATTTTCTGTGCATGATGATAAAACAATTCTTCAAACCATAGATCACGTTTTTCTGAAGTTTTCAAACCTTTTTGGTGGGCGAAAACACATAATCTAGGAATACATTGGGAACCAAACAGCGAATTAAAATAACAAAAAACTGTATTAAAAGTCAACATCCAAGATTTCATTTTTGCTCACATAGCAGTAGCAAGTCCAACCATTGATTGTAAACAGAAGTGTTTGTTTTTTTAATTTTGAGGGGTGGGCTGCCCTCCAGTTTGGACCCTTTTTCTTTAGCCTACAAAATAAAAGCACAAAGATTTGGAGACGGAAAGACACGTAACCAATGTCTCTGATCTTTACCCTCCTATCGTGGCGCAGTCAGTGGACACAGCAATATACTGTAAATAGATAATAATAATTGAGTATGTTTGCAGTCACTGAAAGAAGATGAGGTAACATAGAGTCATTTTCAAACAGGAACTAGCCGCTTTTTGCTGATTGTTTACCGCCTCCTCCACCTTTTGTCTCCACGTGTTTGTTTCTGCAGGAGGACATAAGATGCACCCTGGAGAGAGTAATTGAACAAGAAAATAAGACAATATGGAGGGACAGAGAGACTCCAGAGAAGGACGAGGGCTTCCTCCACTCTCAGTTTCCCATGGACATCTGGACGGTACAATATGTTTTTATAAATATCACATGGGGGGGGGTCATCAAACTCTTAACTCCTTATCTCATCTTATAAGTCATGTGTATTAATTAAAATATAGTTACACAAAAAAGAAAATAAGTAACAGATTAATTAATAATTCATACTTTAAATATAGAAAAAATACATACATTTAAATAAATATATTGAATACAGAACATATGAATATATATATATATATATAACTTATTTAAAAAGAGTAAATAAAATATTAATATTTTATAAATATATTATTGGTCTCAGAATATGTGCTTAATGGGATAATGTTTCTTTTTTGGAGAGTTTTGTGTGACATTGTTGATTTTCTCTGTTTAAAAAAAATAATTGTGTTTATTTTTGTTACAGATTATAATTTATTGTATTTGTATCTAAGTAAATAAATAATGGTATTAATAAAAATATTGGGATTTATTCCCCCTCATCTGTGCATGTTGCACTGCAGCGATTGACCCATTTGACGGCAGCAGAGAGCTTCATAATTACCTCATTGTTTCTTTGTTTTAAGTATCTGTCTTAAGAGCTCTATACTTTTGTGTGTTTCCTGCAGAATTTGAAGGGATCTATTGTAGGCTCTGCTGCGATCGATGCTCAGCTGAAACAGAAAGTGATCTCTTCCTGCCTGCAAGAGCTCAAAGACTTTCCCAAGAGGTTTGTTAACACAGAAATACACAAATACTGTATGAGCACTTCAATTTAAATTACTTTATTTTAACAAGATCAACTGAGTCATTGTAGTAAATGTTGTTTTTATAGCACTTTTGACATCTAGGCTATTATAGTAAACTTAATGTAAATTCTACATTAATAATGGATTAAAGAAACGTAGAAATGTGTATAAACTATCCAAAACAAACCAAAAACAGGAACCAGCCCTTCGTGCAATAACCACACTTTTGCAATATGACAAAAGATTTCCTCTGCCTATTTATGACTAAGACTGTTTAACACGCGAGACCCCACCTCGATACAATCAATCATTTAAAAAAGCCTCTAAAGATCATGTAGACATTAAAGTCCATTTAAAGTGTGTTGTTTAAAGCCCTTGTAGTTGTCTTGCAGGCTGAACACATGTCTCTCCTCTCCACAGATTTGAGGCGGGGTTCAGGCTTCACTGCAGCGCTCTGCAGCCGGAGCCTATCTGGACAGAGTATCAGATTACATACATCAACAGCTTCACAGCTTTACAGTAAGTCACATGACTTCCTGACATTACCCCCGGTAGGCATCATGCCAACCTGCCTTGACAAAAGCACAGCCACCAGAGGAAAATAGATGATTTCCTGTTTTAAAAGTACTCTTAATTAATGTTTAGGAGTGTATTTGTTTTTTACATTGGTGCTTAACCAGTAGAATAACATGAACAACTGCCTCTGGGCTGTTTAACCTTCAAAATAAAAGCTCAAATTGGTACATTTAAACATGTTTATCGGTTTTTAAATAGTAGATAATACACCTTCAAGGAATGAAATCCCTGCAGGTAAAGTAATCATTTTCTCTCTCATGTGATAAGGACTTATGCAGATTTGAAAAAAAGGATTTGGAAGGAACCTTTTCCAAGTTCCCAAGTTATATAGGGTTTGAAAACAAGGTTACCTAAGTTCATTCACAGTATGGTGTTAATACTTTTACTTGAGTAAAGGATCTGAATAATTCTTCCACTTCTGCATGTAATTGGATCCACGTTCAATACTGTACTTAACATGTATGTGCTTTGATTTGAAAGTCACCCACAACAAATGATCTAAATATCTGGTTATATTATATGTTAGTTGATTTGCTTTAAACTAATGATTTTGCAGCTTCTAAAACAACAAACACGTGCTTAAACTGCACAGAGACTCGGAAGACGATCAGATTTTGTTTGGATGATTCATGTCTGAGCTATTTTAGATTCAGATAGAAGACCGCCTCTTTAAAACGCAGAGGCTCACCACAAACCCATTTAAAATAAGGGCTTGCCATTGTGAAATTTGCAAGCCTTGGAACGAGTTTTGCCCCACGTGATTTCGGGGAATCGGGGCTGCGAGTGAGAAACGCTCTGGTTGTATAAGAGGGTAGAAAGAGAAAGTAGAGCAAGCTGCACCTCTAAAAGCACTCAGCTGCTATTTGCAGTCTCGAGACAGCAGATGCAGCATCGCTCTGGTTTATTTAATGCAATTGTAAATGTCAGGAGCAGAGTGTGTGTACAGATGCAGAGTAGATGTGACTTTTAACCTTCTCTGCTTCAGATTATATGAATTACACATTAGCCAAAGAGTCTCTACACCTTTTACAAGTCAGTAAAAAACAGAACAGAAAACATACAATATAACATGGACACAGATCTGTCACGTCATAATGTTAGTATGACGGCAAGGTGGAGTTTAGGATTGTGGAAAGCTGACATTTTACAGTTTTAGATAGCAATGTGAAAGGATTGAAATATCATTTTCATGAGTATGTTTCTCAAACTACATTGTGTTTTTATTGCGTTTAAATAATATTAACAATCATTTTAAGTGATCTCGATTCAACAACTTAATATAAACTACAAAAGTTTATCCAAGTGGTTCCCAACACGATGGTCCAAACACTTCCAAAGGATGAACAAACTAAGGTCAGCTATTTCATTACAGTCACTCAGTCAATGCTGTTTTTCCTCCTGCAGGCAGCACATGGAGGGGTACCGGGACACGTGTCCTGCAGAGGTGGAGGACTTAAAGAAAGAGACTGATGGGCTGATCTTCAGGCTCAGCCAGGGGCTGGAGGTCCAGTTCAAAGAGGACGTCGAGGTACGATCACAGTACTTTATATCACATTCATGTTATCAAATTACTGCCTGTGCTGCAGCACCTCTTTTCCCCCTCTGTCTGAAACCAGAGCCCAGTCTGCTCTGATTGGTTAGCTGGCCGGCTCTGTTGTGATTGGTCAACCGCTTAGAGATGTCCCACCTCTTAGTCTATCACGTACAATGTGTTGGAGCACTAGCCGAAGTGCGCGTGTTACATAGTGATGTCATTATGTTACAGAAGTAGACAAAGGAGTGAAAGGGAGGCGTTTCAGGCGGGTAGGAGAGAAACTCCCTCCGGAGGGAACACAGGGATTTTGGCATTTGCAGACCATTTACATGCACAAAGGCCGATATAACACAATACAAGAAAGGGAAAACCACGTCTCTTTGAACAGACGTCCTAACGAACAGAAAGAAGAACTGATGACCCCCCTTCAACCTGTGGAGAATAAAACAGTAAAAGCATTATATAGTAAGATTTATTTTTCCTGCTTCAAACCTGTTTTCTGATATTTTTTCCAGCTGTATCTGAGGAGAATGATAACAAGGAAGTGGCTCACCGACGATGACGACTTTAAACAGCTTTCCAGACGCACGGAACTGCTCTCTAAGCACTGCGCTCTCATGAGGCCTCCACACAACCAGGTGAGGTCAGGGGTCGATTCCCAGCATTTACCAACCACTTTATTATCTTAACGTGCCAGCTAAAACATTTTACTTATTAGTAAAGACTACTGCCTCTTTAAAATGATTGGTTACCTGCCAACGTTTGGATATGATCTGATACATTTCCCATTTAGCGCTTAGGATTTATATTTTTGGATTACAAGAAACCCTCTTACATGGCTTAAAACAATGGATTTCAGGTTTGGCAACCGCATTTGTGTTTTTTTTTTCTCTAAGAGCTAGTCTAATCAGCTAAAAGGAGGTCTGTGGACGAAATTCTTATCTACTTATTGGATCAGCCCCTCTTGGAAGTTCCAGTTAATCAGTTTGTGCTCCATTGTTTCCAGCGGGATGCAGAAATGATTAAAGAGACAAGGAAAAAATCCTGGAAAACTTGAACCGATGAATAGGTGGAAGTGAAAGTGTTAGTTCTTATGACCTGATGGCAGTTGGTCATGTGACGGACACATTAAGACACTTTCATTTCCCCATTTACATGCATCTCCTGTTATCCTACTACATCACTCCCTCTGTGTGTGTGTGTGCGTGTGTGTGTGTGTGTGTGTGTGTGTGTGTGTGTGTGTGTGTGTGTGTGTGTGTGTGTGTGTGTGTGTGTGTGTGTGTGTGTGTGTGTGTGTGTGTGTGTGTGTGTGTGTGTGTGTGTGTGTGTGTGTGTGTGTGTGTGTGTGTGTGTGTGTGTGTGTGTGTTTCCCGGCAACAGGACTTTGCCAGCAGGCTGCACTACCACGTGGTACAAGAATACATCGGCCAGCTGATGAAGAAAAACTTCTCGTGCAAGAACCAGAGACACGAGAGAGCAGCGAGCAAGATCCGCAAGCAGTGGGAAGAACTGAGGGACCTGTTTGAGGAGATGGTGATCATAACATTATTGTTTTATGTCATGGTGATACACCCCTTTACTTCCCCATCAACGTGAACAGCATCTTCTGCATGTCAATAGGAAAAAATTAGTACTTCTTCACCAACTAATATTGGTATTGCACATTTTATATTTAATATTAGAGACAGATTTACTTAAGAATAACGCCTTTACTTCCCAGTATGGGTCAATGCCCAAAAATGCTGGGTCATACTGTGTGTGCAGTTTCCCATGATGCGACTCTACAAACATTTGTTGTGTCCCGGCTTGGATCAAAATAACTCTGAGGCTTTAAGTTAATACAGAGCCACTGAATACATTAGTGTTTAAAACTGTTTACATACTCCCCATGACTAATACATTGATCTTTATGTGTGTAATGTTTGAGTTTCCCTTTAAAATGTTTTAAGGAAGTGTTTTTTGCAGTATTGACACATCACAATAAACATTGTAAACTTGTTACCTGGGGACAGTAAGATATTGAAGCCACAGAAAGGTCGTAAAAACAATTTTGTATTCTTAAATTGAATAAATAAAGGCACCAATATAGAGTGTTTCAGGTTACCCTAAATGAGTCAGAACACTTATATTAAAATAATATTGAAACGTAAATATATATATTTTTTTTTTCTGTTTTAGAACTCGGCTCACGAGTGGCTCTATGATGTCGGAGACGAGCTGAGCGTCATCGTCGAACAGAAAAACAAGAGAGACATAAAGAACCATCTGGAGACTTTAGTGAAGCATTACCCTGACTTCTGGTAAGGCATTTTTGTAACTCATTTAAAAAACAAGCATGTCACAGACTAGTAGTGCACAAAGTACAAATATGAACTTGAAACTGAGCATAATATGTCCTCTTTAATGTATTCACATGCAGGACTTCTGCATACTGTACATTTAAAATGATTGGTGCTAAACTACCTAATGCACTTTCTAGCATTTTCTAAAATTCATATTCTAAATCAGTAAATTCCCTTTTGGTTGGATGCTAACTGCATGTCATGGCTTCGATCTGCACTGTGCACTATGACCAATATTTAATCTAATCTTTATCTAATAATGTGTTGATTAGCTCGATGTCAGAGGGGTTAAAGGCGGGGCTTTCCTCTCACTTAGTCATTTCTTTCAAAACCTGATAAAGTTCAACATACATGGAGGTTACTGAAGTGCAGCAACGCGTCCCCCTGTTGCAAAGCAGAGGTTTTGTTGGGTTACACAAGTCAGGCACCACAAAAAAAGGCCTGAGTGAAGACATTAAACCAATATCTTGATTTCAATTTCTATTTGAAACGTGTAAAAAGTTTCAATGATTCCCCTTTTGGTCATTTTGGAATAATTAAATGAAGGTGCTTCTGTTCACATGGATCGGTCAGCAGATTAAAGCGGTGCAGGAGTCCCCCCATTTGAGACTGAAACATAGCAAACTTGAGTTAAAGTAACCAAAAAAATTAGGAAGTGATGATGAAAAAAGAGCAAAGAAGGTGAACAAAATGAGGTGCAAAGTATGCTTTTGTTTCTGATTAACCCAAAAACAGAGAGCACTGATCATTAACAATAAACCTCTGATGCGTGTTGCAAAGAACCCACAAGCAAAACACATCTGCAAGATTTCATTACACTTCAGAGAAGTTGTCATGTTAAGTCTAACATATTTGAAAAGTAGGAAGTAAAATGTGGATGCAATTTAACATATAGTCAACTTTCATTTAGACTTATTCCGATGTTAAACCCTTCCAAAAATGTGTTTTCAATAAGAATTGCTTGATCCCTAAAAGGATTTTATGCAGCATATACTGTATATGGCAACACATCCTCACTCCAAGGTCGGCCTATGTTGACGTTATGTCAAGTCCCCTGTGTCGGCTTTTTCCAACGCAAGGGGGCGGCCCTTAGCGTACATTTTCAACTTTCCGGGATGTCCATACCTTTTTCTTACTCAATATTAAGCCACACTTATTGTTTTTACTTCTTTAATTTTAATTGAATAATGTAGGACTTCTGTTGCCGTCAGTTATGGTGAGAGTAGTGGCTCAGAATACTGAAATCTGTATCTGTAATAATAGACGTGCCGTTGTTGCGTTTATTGCGTTGCCTCACGAAAGACTTTAATGTAAATTTAAATTTAAATGTGAAGGGATGTGTGTAATGTGGTGATTACATTATTCACCCACGGATCTATGGGTTGGGGTATTGTTCCTTACAGACATTTTAGTTAACCGGATTTCCTGTTTATGTGAAATACGAAAACATTTTTTTAAAATAAAATGATACTTTATTCCGAGTTTGCTTGATTTTCTCTTTGGAGGTCATCACATAACGGCATTGTAATACACGGTTCGGCTGCATTAAATATTACATATCTGCCGTAGTTCGTTATAGAGCCCTGATGAGAAGACTTCTAGACAAACATGAACAACTGCCGCCGAAACTGAATATGTAGGATCATAAATATATCAGCAATTAAACAAAATCTTCAATTTCTCTTCACAATATAAGTCTCCTTGCAGTATCAATACTAATTCGGCTGACTTTTATATTGTATCCAATCAGTATATTGGTATATTTACACCATAACGGTGCACAGCTGATAGAAAGGGACACCTGGTGGTTAAAGCACGTTATTGAAATGTATTATTGTTATTATTAGATATTAATAGGAGACACAGACGGACAAACTAATAAGGCTTTATTTAAATGGGAAAGAGTACTTTAGGTTAAGGTCTTATTTTGAATAAGAAAAAAGCTTTGGGGGTATAAATAT